CTTTGGAAGCCGAGACAGGCTAGTGAGTGTCCTGAGATGGGGGAGACAAGGCCCCGGGAGGAAGCGGCAGCCTGGCAAGAGGGCATCTGGGGTTGGCCAAGGGCGGGGATTCCGGGGTGTCTGGTTGCTGCTTGTTGTTTAAGGAAGTTTCCGACCACCGTAGGATAGTCAGATGGCGGTTCAAACTTTTACCCTTGGGGAGGGGGACACTTCTGTCCTGCATATGTAACTTCCGCTGGTTCCAGTACCTTTCCAGGGGGCGGCTGCTGCTTTGGGAAGTTGGAGATCTCCCTCTTTCGGTCAGTTTCTTCTTGATGTTTTAATCCTGTTGAGGAGGAGGTCTTATTTTATGTTCTGTGTGCCTTGGTTGACACTTTGTCAACACTGAGATGTTGTGTAGCAGAGCTCCCTAACTATAGGGAGTGTACGGTTTTATTTTGTTGGTGTCTCACACCAAAGCATTCCTCCATATCAGGTGGTAACCTTGGACAGTTCCCTTCAAAAACCCTCTATTTATAAAAAGGGCTGAGGGGCGGGGTTGAGGAGGTGTAGGTGACTATTGGCAGCACTTGTCCCGTCTGAGTTTCCCTCTGAGACTGCAGTTTACAGGGCACTTGGCTGGCTGTTAACTTTGGCACCTGAGCAGTGACCTGGGTGCCCTCACCTCGAGTCTTGTAGACCTTTGGAGTTTTAGGGTTCAAGTGATAGGTCATGACTTCTTGAGCGTGACAAGGATTTTAGCTTTCAGTCTGCACTGGCGTTATTTTTGTGGAACTTACCTAAGGCAGGCAAAGTTTCCTATTTGTTTTTGTTTTCCGAGCACCCAGCACACCTGGCTAAATGCATGATGGTTGAAGGAGGCTATATAACTAATTATTGGGGGAATGACGGGTTATTTTTAAAAAATACTTGAATAATTTTTAGAATGTGAGGTTTGTTTAGTAGTGCATTTCCTTTTGAACCTGGGTTAAATAGTTCTTTTTCTTTCTTTTTTTTAAAACTTGGCTATATATCAGATGCCTTTGGGTAGGAAAAAAAATTAGCTTGACTATAATGATGATTTTGTTCTGATTTTGTGATCCAGTTTCTCAAAGGAATGTCATTGAATTTGCCAAACAAAATTGACTTTGTTTTAAAAGAAAAAAGACTTGAAAAATCAAATTATAGTTTATTAGCACTTTATAGGATAGAGATCAAGTGCTACTTCTGAGATGGCTTACTGTTTCTTCCTGCTTATACAGGCCCTTGCCAAATTGTTGATATGCATAGAAGGGACTGAGAAGTTAATCCTATAAATACACAGGTGAGGAGCAGGCTCAGAATGACCTTTCACCTCTGGTAAAAGAAGTGATCCCTCCAGCCTTAAACTTCTATCAGTCCATGTAAACATGGGGAAAATGCCAAGATCACACGTGCCAAGAAAGCCATCTGCTACAGGTTGCAGAATCAGAAAATAAAACTGACCAACTGCTAGACTCTGGGTTTTATATTAACTTCCTAAGTAAATGACTTTTTAAAAATAGATTATCCAATAAATTTCTTTGTAGTTTATACTTTTTCAGTCACATCTATAAATTCTCTATAGGGAAACCTTTGGGCAAAGGGCCATGACCTGAGAACAGAGAACATTGACGAAATGCTAGATGAGCCGGGTTCGGTGGCTCAGCCTGTAATCCCACGTCTTTGGGAGGCTGAGGTGAGTGGATTGCCTGAGCCCGCAGGTTCGAGACCTGCCTGGGCAGCGAGACCTCATCTCTACAATAAATCAAAAAATCAGCCGGGTGTGGTAGCGCATGCCTGTAATTCCGGCTACTTGAAAGGCTGAGGTGGAAGGATCGCCGAAGTCCAGCAGATCGAGGCTGTGGTGGCCGGGAGTGGCCACGGCACTCCAGTCTGGGCGACAGAGTGAGACTCCAACTCAAAAAAAAAAAAAAGAAATGCTAGATGAGCCAACTCCCAGACCACAAACCATCTCATTATCAGTCTTCATCTAAGATCATAAATCAAGGGTTGCCCAGTACCCAGAAATTCAGTCTCTCTTGGGCAAATATGCAGAGTGAATTCTGTGTTTAATTTTCTGGGAATGTTTTGTTTATGCCTTTAATATTGGGGACTAAGAGTCTGCAATTATGGCAAAAGTGCCACAGACTGTTTACAGCCAAAGTAATTTGAAAGCATAGAAATTATCTGTAAAGAGAGTGTAAAGTAAATTCTGAGCACCTTTGTGGAAATTTAGGAGGATGTGTAAGTGATGACGATGTTTTAGGAGTATGTGAGGTGCTATAATCTCTTGCTTGCAGGAATTCTCAGCAAGGAGTCAGAAATTTAATCTTTATTATAATGATGGAACTTAATTGGAATACCTTCTGTTTTTTTCTTTTTTTATTTGAATTTCTTGTGTGGAGTTAGTCTGCAGTTTTAGTGATTCTTTAAATACAGCCTAAAGGAGGGATACTTTTATTTTCTATTTCTTAAAAAAATTTTATATATTCAAATTTATATTGAGACAAGGTCTTGCCATGTTTTCCAGGCTGGTCTTGAACTCCTGGGCTCAAACCATCCTCTTACCTTGACCTCTTAAAGTGCTGGGATTACAGGCATGGGCCACTGGCCCAAGGGGGACTGATTTTAGGTAGATTTGGACTAGTTTCAAATGCTACTCAAGAAATCTGTCATCTTATCATCCGTCACTTTCCCCTTTGGGCTTTCTGTAACATACCTTTCCATTCCTTAACCAAGACCCATGCTGCTCCCTTACTCTAGAATGCTCTTCCCTCAGAGTTTCACCTGGCTATCTCCTCACTTTCTACTCTGCTTAAATTTCACTTTTTCTTTTTGTTTGTTTCTTTGAGTTGTAGTCTCACTCCATGGCCCAGGCTGGAGTGCAGTGGCACACTCATGGTCACCAGAGCCTCGACCTGCTGAACTCAGAAGATTCTTCCACCTCAGCCTTCCTTTTAAAATTTTTATTTATTTATTTATTTGTTTGTTTGTTTATTTATTTATTTATTTTAAGAAAGTAGGATTTATTAAGAGGACAGAAAAGCTCCCACAGTGGGAGGGCACCTGAGACAGTTGCTCCCAATTCATCTTTTCAAGTAGCTGGAACTACAGGCGTGCACCACCACACCCAGGTATTTTTTTGATTTATTGTAGAGATGAGGTCTCACCAAGTTGCCCAGGCTGGTCTCGAACCCCTGGACTGAGGCAATCCTCTCGCCTCCACCTCCCAAAGTGCTGGGATTACAGGTGTGAGCCACTACGCCTGGTTTAAATTCCGGTTTTTCAGCGAGACCTTCCTATCTACTCTATCCAGAAAAAGCCCTGTGAATCTTTGAATAATTTATTTTAAAATCTGACTTTTAAGTAGGCCAGGCACGGTGCTCACGCCTGTAATTCCAGCACTTTGGGAGACCAAAATGGGAGGATTGCTTGAACCCAGGAATTTGAGACCACCTGGGCAACATAACAAAATCTCACTTTTACAAAATGTAAAAAAATTAGCCAGGCATGGGGGTGTGTGCTTGTAGTCTCAGCTACTGAGGCAGAAGGGTTGCCTGAGCCCAGGATGTCAAGGCTGCTTGGAGCTGTGATTGTGCCACTGTACTCCAGCCTAAGCAACAGAGTGAGACCCCGGGTTGGGGAAAAAAAAGTATATATGTATATATATATATGTATATATCAGTGACTTTTAAAAATAAATATCCAGATAGAAAATCATTTGGAAAATTTGAAAAAATGTTATTCCTGAGTATCTTAGTGTTTTTTTATGTTTTGTTTGTGTAAGTTCTGATTCTTCTAAACTGGCATGATTTGCCTTAACTAAAAAAAAAAAAAAAAAAAAACTTAAGGCCGGGCATGGTGGCTTATGCCTATAATCCCAGCACTTTGGGAGGCCGAGGTGAAAGGATTGCCTGAGCCCAGGGGTTCAGGACCAGCCTGGGCAACTTGGCAAGACCTCATATCTACAATAAATCAAAAAATTAGCCGGGCATGGTGGCAGCTGTAGTCCCAGCTACTCGGGAGGTCTCGAGGCTGTGGTGGTAGTGATCGTGCCACCGCACTCTAGCCTGGGCGACAGAGTGAGACTGAGACTCAAAAAAAACTTACTTGAAAAGTAGCACTTGAGTTCAAAAAGCCTTTTTCTCAGGAATTTAGTTCTGAGTGATTCTGTGGGTCTTGTTTCTTATCATTGTTATTCTGGAAGTGAGAGTTTATTTAGCATCAGTGGATGGAGAGAGATTGCACATAACAGTGAAGATACAGACCAGGTGCAGTGGCTTACACTGAATACTTTGGGAGGCTGAGATGGAAGGACAGCTTGAGGCCAGGAATTAAAGACCAGTCTGACCTACATAGAGAGACCCTGTGTCTACTCTCCCCTCCCCCCCCCAATTTAAAAATTAGCTGGGCACGGTTGTGTATTTCTGTAGTTCCAGCTACTCAGGAGGCTGAGGCAGGAGGATCACTTGAAATCTAGAGGCTGCAGGAAGCCATGGTTGCACCACTGCACTCCAGCCTGAGTATCTCAAAAAAAAAATTCATTCTCAGAATAAGGGAGTTGAAAAAAAAATAATGTGCCATCTCCATTTTTTCTTCCCTGCCTCCTTTTGTGATACAAACATATATGAAGAGAATGGTGTGAAGAGAGAATATCTTTGCTGGGAACAGATTTTGTGACTGTAATTTTGTGACTGCTTTTCTGTGGCTTTTTGCTTTAAAAATAGGATGATTAAATGCAGAGGTGAGAGATACTACTGAGAAGTTTCATATTAATTTTTTTACAACGAGTCAGCACTTAAAGCAGTAACAAAATTGTTTTTTATTTTATTATTTTATTTTTTTGAGTTGGAGTCTCATTCTGTCACTCAGCCTGGGGGGCAATGACACACTCCTGGTCACCGCAGTCTCAACCTGCTGGGCTCGGCCTTCCAAGTAGCTGGAACTACAGGCATACACC